AATTCAAGTTACCAACTGGATTATTAAGACTACAGAAATAGAAGTATTCAGGAGTGACATTTTGTCCTGAAGGCTTCGCCTGAGTAAACCTATCAGTTCCCAAAAAAAAAAGGAACAGGAAATTCTAGCTTTCGCAAGGACAAGTAAAAGTTTTTCTAGCTTGGGCAGGGGAACTGAATGGAGAAACGGCTTAGGAGATTCCCATGTAATGAAAGGACTTAAAGGAACGTAAATAAATCGAACCTGATCTCTTTGAAGTTGGTTTTCCATTTGTTCACGCTTAATCTCGTTGTGTATCTCAGCCAGCTTTTTTGGGCCTTGATCGGCTCCTTTTCGTGGAATCCACCGACTCTGGCGGAGTTCGACCACATTCATTATCATGAACCTGTATATATAATAGTATTCATAAGTCAACTAAGTGATCAGAATTTCGAAACTACAAGAGGATATTACGGTGCACCTTATCTTGTTACTTGTCATACTCGATATGCACTCCAAATGATGCAATGTTTGATCGAGATACTCCTTTCCATTGAAATCAGGAGAAGACACATCCAGCTGCTTACCCAGGCTTTCTATCAATTGTATAGCGCATTGCAACGACTCCTTAATAGTACATTCATAGCCCACTTTTTTTAGTAGTTTCAGGAAGTGAATTAGTAAAGGTAGCATGAGGATGGTAATTGTACCTCATCGAATGGCGGTTCAGGGAGCTTTCCAGTTTCAGGATTTCGATGAGTATGTTTAATAAGGTCGAACAGACACCATTGCACGATCTTTGTCGAGAGTAACGACTGCCGATACAATTGTCCAATAAAGCTAAACAAACTTCACAATACATTCAAAATGGTTACATTGGGCTGTAGCTTGAAATTTGTCAGCCGTACGATATCAGACAAAGTTCACTTGGAAATTACACTACTAAACCTACGTGATATTTCCGAACTTCCGCCGACGGAACTTGTTGTCCGCTTCTTGTAAATCAAGCTGCATTTGCAGTTTTTTCTTGGGATCCTCTTCTTCTTCTATTGCTTTGACCTGAAAATGAACTAATGGGGACCTATCAACTCGTCCAACGAAAACTCGTATTTCTTGGAATATATATTTCCTGCTTTACTTCATGGTCGATCTCGCAACCTTACAATATAGAGTGAACTTGAAACAATAACTTCATCTATTATGATATTTTGTGTTCCTGTGGCTACACTGAAACAATTTTAAGACTCTTTAAGACTCCTGCGCGGGCAATTCCTTCGATCGCGCTATGGTAAATGCGCCACACATGATAGTGGAAATATTATTGACTAGCTTTCGACGCGCGAATAAAGCTGAACAGTCAACCTCCTAAGTATTAAAAAAGAAGCTTTGTAAGTTACCGCATAATGAACTCTACTCAGGCAACTTGGGACCAAGACTTTTTTCAAAGAGCATCCAGTTCAAGTGAAATATTGGAAGTGGTGGAGTAGATTAGTGCGAAGGCGATAAAGAAAGAGCAAAAGCCGGTATATTTCAAGAAATGTTATACGCTAGCTTCAGAAAATCATAGTGGGTTGACGGGATCATGACAAGAAAGCTGCATGGAAGAGGTACTTGGACGAGATTTAGTCGTGCTCAGTTGTGTAAAGAAATGGTAAAGGCAAGCAAGAAAGAAATGCTCAAAATTGCCTTCCACTAACGCCAAGTGTCGGATGCACTGATGCAGTCCAGGTTTTGGGCTGCTGCAGCCTTCNGTTGTGGGGGAGGAGAGGTTGTTGACCAAATCTGTTACGGAACTGCCCGCTAGTGAACCTTTTACGCCCTCGCTAGACAGTTTTTCGACCCGACAGCGTTCCATGTGCTATCATTAAGGGTACAGGTCCATCCATCCTAGATGGGAACTCGGAAGCCACTGTTATCATGAGCTGGGCTTCTTGATTATCGGGAACATGAGAACTGACTTATTATGAATTTATTCAATAAACTATTTAATTCAGGGTCTAGTCTAACAAAACCCTTCTGTCACCATGTTATTTGGAAAATGCAAGCACAATTGAAAGGCTGGTCATACGGCTCGACGGAAAATTTCTAAAGATGGAATAATCTTGTCACATGTTCGAAACAGTGTGGGATCCCGGCTTAGAGAACTGAAATATTTGCCTATAGAAGTGGGTGATAGAATTTTCTAGCACAGAAATCCACAAACAAAGATCTAGTAGATATCCTCGAATTAAATAAAATAGGAAACTCATTGAAAAATAACATAGCACTAACTATGCATCTGAAAGAGCGAATCTAAGAGTATACCTTCACATTACGTTCCTCTTCCCAAGTCTTGTTCACGAAGGTTTCCTGCGCCCTATTCAGAAGAGCATTCCGACAAAGAGATAGCTTGGAGTTCTCCTTAAGTTCTTTGTCTACCTGAAATTACCTCATATTTTGTTCCATGCAAACAATTTTCAATGACAACAATGTTTGAGCTTCAACATCTTCAGGTTCTTTTGCAGATTCATCATAAGACGCGCCTTGATCAAGGTCACTTTCTTTTTGCACGTAATTTACTATCATTTTTGAATTTTCGTGTTCGCTCTGATTTTAACATCATTTTCGTGCAGTGATTTTCCTGTAATTTCCTTTTATACATCGCTCACAAGCCCAATCTATCGTAATGAAGAGCGAAATTCATCTGGTGAGAGTTCTATGGTTCTCCTTGATTGATAGGGAATCATTGGAAAAAGACTCCGCTTAATGCCATGGATACCTACCACAAATCTCTAAAGGTTTTTAATCGAGCTAAGGAGAGCCAACTAAATAGAAGCTATTAATGATTTAAGTAAGATAATTTTTCTTTGTTAATAATTTGGATTATCAGTGAATGAGTGTCGAATTTTCACTAACTCTTAAACAGTGGTATGAAAACCATTCGCCTATCATCGAGTGGCCGTGAATATGATAAGCCAGCCGAATCGTCCGGTTGAAACAATACCCTCCACTCCTTGTGTTCAAGTTGATCCGCCACCTGCATTCTCCCAAACTTGAAAGCTCTGGTCCAAGAGAACAGGAGCTACTGATTCACAGCGAAACCTCACCGACACACTTCGTGCGTGCTCTGTTCGCCATGTGCGAAGTCCGGCACAAGTCGCGCGTTCAGTGACATGGTCATTCTTCTCCTATTCCAAATTGTGGACGCATTTTTACTCAAATTACGACAATTCAGCGCATGACTCGACCCCTCCTTCCCCCTAGACCCCTACCAAAGACGGGAGTCCAGTCCAACACTTATTACTACCTACCATGGGTGTCAAGTTTGAACGTCCACGTCCGAATCAACAATCTCCATACACGCCCCACCCTCGAAGGGCGGAGTCTGTTCCTCTCATCGGCCGCCAGTGTTCCCATCCTACCGCCTCCACCCTCCAAACTTTGAATACCCCAGGTGCAAGTCAACCATTTCCTCGCAAGCCCTGCTCAATGTGGACGAAGTGCAGTCCTACCCCTACCGTGTCTCATCCTGCTGCCTGCACTCCAGCCAAATTTGAACTTTCCAGGGATATGTGAACAGAAGTTATGAATTTCCGGTCAAGCACTTATTTTGCAAAACCGTGCCCCCGTGGGCGGAGAGGGGCCCTACCACTTGCCGCCAGTGTCTCCATCCTACCGTCTGTACTTCTGCCAAACTTGTAACGCTCTAACTCCACGGGAACAGGAATTAGAAGTCCCATCGGACAGACGAACACACACAAATACACAGACACACTATACATCCACAAACGCAGACAAACCAACAGCCAAGCTTAGCGCATTATAGTAGGATTCTATAAATGATGGACTTCCCTAATTTCTTTCATGACTATGACACAAAGGTTTCAAGTCATCTACGAGATGGCATAGTAGTACTTATGGTTGTTCACAATCATTGACCTTACAATAGGTTTCAAAGTTTACTCATTTGTGTATGAATAGATTATCTGAATGTGGCCAAAGCGAAGTTCACTAAAATGAATAAGCAGGCAACGATTTAAAAGTCAGATTCAGCTGACTTCTTGCATGCTAAATGTTGAGTTTCTGCATTACTCCTATGGAGCTCTTCTTTTATATCCCCGTCTTTGCTGCGATGCGTAGGTGTCGCGGTAGATGGTTGACATGTCGTTTGATCAGTCCCATTTGAAGGATGCCCCTCCGCATTCGACTTCCATTCAGGACCGCAATGGCGTAGTGAATGCGTAAGTGGCCTATACAATGACAAGTGGTGGTCAGCTGATAAACAAGTCACTTAACACTCCCAGACGAGTGTGGTTAAGGGACTCGAACCCGTCACCATGTGTGTGCGACAGTCGTCACTTGCCACTACACCACCCAACCTGAGGTGGACCCATATCTACCGCTAGAGAGTAGGCGAACACGGCTTCCACTAAACCTCTATTGCGCGAAGGCTGAATAAGATTGGAGAGGTTAAGGATGTCAACAATGGGACTCAAGAAAGGTCGCCTTGACTCTTTTCCCTCTCTACACAGAGATTCAACTTTCAATAAGCTCATCATTGGGGATGAAAAGAATGTTGTACGAAACCTTAAGCAGAGCAGTTGCTCGTGTCGACTGAACATGCAAGAAGCAAGTTGTAGTCACCTTCCACCACGTTAAGGCCAAACCCGACACAGCAAAGATAACGAGGACACCACGAAAGTTATCGTTAGTGACCCTACAATTGCTTGTAGCACGGTGTGCTTCTCTCGAGGTATTTGCTAGTCAGCCTCCTTTAACGTTAAACAAATGGAAATTGTTAAAGACAGCGAGAAAGAGAGGTGCCAGAAAACAAGCCACAATCAAATTCAAAATGCCCACCATGGGCACTCATATAGACTCAAAATCTGCCTGCCTCGCATGTATCCCTCCTTCACTTTTTTATAGGCCCTCTTTTCTTGCTTACAAGGATCCAAACAATAATAGCGAACACAGTGGTCTTTTATTTCGATCAGGGACATCACAGAGAAGTCAAAAGGGTCAGGATCTGGCCAGCAGAATGGCCATTCCTCCGTGTTAATGAAGTCGGACGATCAACCTCCTGCCCTATTGCAATTTCTACGGAATGTTTCCGTATAAAGAATCGTATGGAGGCTTCCGTGCGCCCATCAGAATTCCCGGCGGTACAATTGAAAGCAGCAGCGCCTTACCGTTGCTTGTGACTCCCTTCCTGAATCATCATTTTGCCACCTTACAAGAACGTGTTCATGAGAGATAGCACTCTCGATGTCTCTAGCAACAATTGCCCGTTTCGCTTGTTGAGGATTGGCTGTATTGAGGAAGTCGTAGAAATGATGGAGGATGCGCGATTCTACCTAGCAACTCAGTAATCTGCATTTTTTTGACCACTTCCTGTCTCTAAACATCGGAGATAGAGTGACATTTCTGTATACCATTGGAATGGCGACGAAGCTTAATTGTGACAATCTGCCCTGTAGATGCATTGTCTTTCATATGCGTGTGTGTATATTGTATGTATGTGGGTATTAAGACTTTCAAAAAGCCCTAGAGGCATGATGGGATAGTGATAGAAACGACAGCGACCACTCGGCGCGATCGATACGAGTTGTTTGGCCACTGACCATGAATTCTTAGCGTTTTCGATGGAGGAGAGTTAATTCTCTTAAAACATGGAGAGTTGAAGTTCCCAGGGAAAAGAGGATCTTGCCTCAAAAGCGGTGGTCATTCGCAATAGCTTATTCCGTGCCGATCAATGCTATTCCATCTGATTTGCAGAGCATCCTGAGATTAGTTAAGCTGAATGATAGCGATCAATATCGAGTTTAATTTAGTTGACAGGCTATCCATAGCTCTTGTTTATGCCGAGACAAATGAGAAGGTATTTGGTGGACATTTCGGTTTCGCCACAAAAGAAAGTCAGTCCATTATTGAATGAGCGATCCCACTGCCATTCCGAAAGGCAAACAACGATAGTAGGACGAAACAACGATATGTTTACAATAATAAACTTTCGTCCGTACTTAACATTACGCCGATCAAACGCACCTGTTGTTTGCATACTTCGGCATATATGGGGCAAAATTTCGGCTCCTCAACAGCCTTGTCGAATATTATATTGATCACCTGTAACGACGCTATTAAAACCACTATTTACCATCAATTAATACTTTATGGACAGCTGGTATCCTGAAAGACGTACACAATAATTTCGAATAATCACTCACTGAAGCCAACTGTTCTGGACTGGAGGACACATCATAGCCAAGAAACTCTTTGATGAGGTCGTCTTTTGTGGTTGGAGTAATTTTATTCATCAATGATCGCACATTTTTCAAAAGAAGCTGAAAAATGCATAAATGCATCATAAAGAATATTCCACATTGGTTTGTCGCCGTCATGGCTGAATTACCTTGATTCGAGCTTCTTCCTTTTCTAAATCTTCAGGACGGATCTTCTCTGGTTTCCACGCATTTTCAGCTTTATGAAGAGGGACACCTCGTTCAATATTACGTTCGATAGACGGTCTTGCAGAAGGGGGGAACTTCTTGTTGCCTCCTTTTCCACCACGGTGATCATTGTGTGAGAATCGCCCACCATACTAAACACGAATGATGACTGATATCAGCAACTTTTGTTTGGGAAATAAAGCAACCGTTAATAAGGGTTTTTTAGTATATGGGACTATACCTCAAAGAATAAGCTTCTCTATTGCGCCGTCCATCGTGTACAATTACCTTTTGCAACGAAGGCAACATTTTTAAAGCATGCAACCAATGAGGCATAGTCGGTGAGGGCCGAGGAGAATGCGAGCCACGCTCATGGCCTGATCAATTCTTGGAATGTTTCTCGATCAAATCATCAAGACCTTCCATCCCTTCGATAACAATAATAACAATAACCTAACAGGACTATATTCTGGGATAGTGAAAGTTTCAATTGTATGTAGTTTAACTATTGCAACGATCCTATAGCGAAAATGCTTACTTAAAGGCACAGTTCGCGATGATTCAATAGGCGGGTGTGTCGATGACGTGTCCGCCTCTCATTCGANTCGAATGAGAGGCGGACACGTCATCGACACACCCGCCCATTGAATCATCGCGAACGGTGCCTTTAAATGCCACTACGATTCCGAATGCAGCCGAGTATGTGGGAACATTTTAAGAATGGAATTAAACTATGACAAACACATGCGCTCGGTTTTATCCCTTCACAGTCAAAAACTTCAATGTACGCGCTTACCGGCCGATTTGAAGGTTTATTTGATTGCCTAGACTGATTCATCCACGGCGGAATAAAGCTATGCTGCTTCTTGTTGTCATTTCCTTTAGGCATCGAGTTCAGATCGATTCCAAGTTTCACTATTTTGTCATGGCTCAAAGGACAAGGGCAACGCTTGAACTCCTAAATTAAGGATTTTTAAATTGTGGTTACACCCGAATAGTGCGAAAGTTTCGAAGGTGGGCACAAACCTTCTCGATATCCCTGACACAATAGAGAAATGCTCTTCCATAAATCAAATTATCGCTATCAACTTCCGCTGGATTTTCTAGTAGCGAATGAAGCAGCGTATCCAACTCGGCTAATCTTTGTCGCTTTCTTTCCTCTTCCTCCTGAATAGGAAATTCCCACAGTGACGTATAAAAAGGTACACTTTCAAATAACACATGTATGAACTTTAATTCACCTCAGCCTTGCGCCTTTCCTCCTCTTCCGTATCTGGTGTTGGAGCATCCGGAGTATCAACAACTTCCGTTGTAGAGTCTTCCGCCTCTACGTCGGCAACCGATCCATGATCCACTGTAGATTCAGTGACAGTCTCAGCAGTAGCGCTACAAACAATGGCATAAATTGAACGTACAAACGAAAACAACTGACAAAGTAAATTGCAAGGGCCAAAGCAAAGCAATCAATAATAACTAACATTTGGAAGTATCGCAGAAGCCACATTACTGTAGCTTTGAGAGGAGTCTCTGACAGCAATACCCATCAACTGGTCACTACGCAAAGGAGATGCATTGGTGTTAAATCAATATCTACGACACCAAAACTCGTTTCTACGCATTGCTTCCAGCTAGCCGAAACGCAGGGCGCGCAAGGTGGTCAAGGTTATTCGGACATGCTGTACGGACATTAGTAACGGCTATGTGACAAAACGAAGCCTTCCTCATATCTTCGATGTTCGTAGTTGCTGAAGAAACTGGATGCTACCAACCTAAAAGCCCCATTCATTTCACTTGAACAATATTTTCGGCTTTTTTGCTGATATGTATTCAGAGCAGGAGCGAAATTGGTTTGTTGAAAATGCGTCCCTCTTCCACTTTAGTTATGCCCTAACCTGTTCGTCCCAATATGGTGTTCCTCTAATCCCTCAATCTAGAAAACATGAAGTTCAGTCGAATAAGAGCATTTGGAGCAATACAACCTAATCGATCGATAGAATAGATACTAATGCGCAACACCTTCGACATGAGGAGCAAGCAGAAGCAAAGGACATCTTGCTGTTGAACAAAAGTAAAGATTGGCTACACCGCTTGGTAAACACAGAGGGGTAGGCTATGCTAGTTGTGAGTTTGACGTCAAATGTCCAATCTGCCTACGAGAACAGTATCGTGCGCTAAAAAAAAACCTCTATGGCCTTCTGGATCAAGGGTGAAGTTCATGCGAGTAACCAGAATGAAGGACAACCAGATCAGAACCAGAAAACCATCAATGTGGACGGTGACTGTTGCTTTGTGTTCCGCTGGGTCAGCTTCGATAGTTAGAAACTAGACGCGTGATTTAACAAGCTGTTAACAGCGCGTGTAAGCCCATCTCACATGCTCCATTGTCTCCTAAGTAAAGCAATCGTTCAACGAGATAGAAATGACAAGAACAGCCCGTTGTAGACATTTCAGTCTACATAGGTTCGTTGGTCTAGGTTGCAACTGATAAAGAGCCAATCCGCGTTGGGCGTGACAGGTATCGTTTCGAACATCGCGAAATGCATTCAGGCATTGAAGACTGACGGAAGTGCCGAAACATCGTACGAGTTAAATGTTACGTCTTGAAAACCTGCACAGTACAGAAGCACCGAAGACTCACAACCAGCAATGTCGTTTCAGCCTCCGTGGTTGGGAGCTATCCAGGATGGTTTTCTACTTCCCGGTAGCTCTCTTCAATGAAATCGAATCGTAATTTAAAAAAAGTCGGTTAAGTAGTCAGGCACTCGGATAACCAAGTACATCAAGTAAACACCCACTTCCAAATTTAGGAGCAAGTATTGACTCCAACAACCTCTGAAAGTCGTAGAATATATAGTAGGCACCCGATTAGAACCCTAGATCGTCTCATTGAAAATCAGACATCAAACTTCTGTAAAGGAAATTCGCATCACAAACATGCCGCTTCCATACACTGCAAGAAAGTGGCACTATGTGAGAGGAGCAACCAAAGAAAACGGCGCATCGGATGTTATCTCTCATTTTAGTAGCCAAGGACAAATATCTGCCTGAATCATAGAGATACATAACTGCAGCGTTGACAGGGACTATTCTAACTACTTTCACTTTTCATTTCTTCTGGTTTTTGAGCGCGTAATAAATGATATAAAACCTACATATCTGACTTGAGGCTCTCCTCCTGATCATCAACAACCGCCGAACCCCCCGGAGTAGTAGAATTTGGTGCTTCAGAGTCTGTTCTGATCTCAGGTAAGGTTTTTCTTTCCTCATGAGCCTGAATGGAAACTGGACCTGACACTTTATAACGACATTGAAATTTTTACATAAGTTTATGATAGGAATAATGCCCATTCCCCAAACCTCAAATTGTATCCCTACTACAAAATGTTCTCATTAGAACAGATAGCCCTCGACGATCTCTCAACTACTTGATGAACTTTATTTACGGCGCCTACCTCATGCTCCTCTTTAACAGGATCAGGATCAAGAGGAGGTGCAGAAACAGAAGTCGTCGTCTGAGCAGGAGTAGAAGGTGCAGGTATTGAGGCCTCATCAATTTTGTGTGGTTCTTCAATTACCACAGCTGGCTCTGGTTTACTTTCGGCTTGGGATGCATCTTTTGTCAATGGTTCGGTTTCATTCGTTTTATCCTTAAGTATTGGCTCCGTTGCAGGCGGTGTCTCCACCGTTGTGGCTACGCCTTCACCAGACATTGCCTTCTGTTCCTCAGGATTCAACGTGGAAACTGGAGTATGTTCGCGAGATGTATCTGTAATAAAAATCTTAGCGAAAGTTACCAAATGTCGAAAGATTGCTGATTTTACTGGGTTTGGACGGTAGCGATCCTGCTCCTGAAGATTCCGCTTGATCCATCTCGTTCCGCTCCTGCAGCTGTCTGGTGAACTGTCTCATCACTTCAGATTTTTTTTGCTCGGTTTCGTCAACATCTTTTCGTCCTATAGCAGTATACAATTTCAATAGTGGTCATCACATCATCAAAAAACTGAATTATCATTATGCACACAATATTGCAAATTTTGTTATAGCATAAGTCCTACCACAGTACATTTAGGAAAAGGAAAAAAACTGCCTTACATCAGTTGCAAACACAATTTCTGCATAAGTGTTTGTGCGTACGAAACCGAACAACACTATCTTTTTGTTAACATTCGGGGACAGCCATTGTTAAGCTAGATTGGTGAGAAATAAGAACTCCATTCACTTGGATCGAACTCCTCACCCATGCACAGTTGAAAAGAAATCGGGTAAATCTACGAATAGAAGTTTTCTTTTGAGGAAACTCGCTTGCAATGAACTTCTGAGACGACCATTTGAACATCCTACCAAAGAAGAACCATAAAATGCAACTAGGAAGTGTGCTAGGTTGAAAATTAGTAAGTCTATCCATAACTGCTATCTAAAAAAGCCCGTATGCATTTCCAAGCCAATGGTGCCTTTTCTCTAGACCGTTAAGCTCAGTTCTACAGATGTTGACATTTCCCGTAAAGAGATTTTTTTGCAGGTTTGTAAAGGGCGATGAAGAGCTGATTATACAGCAAAACATAAGTCGAAAAAGACAATGGAAAGGGGCCGCTGAGGATCACAGGATCAGAAAAGTTTTTAAATCACATAGATGTGTTCCTAGCGAATTCTTGCAAGAGTTATTCTATTTCAAGCCAAGCAGGAAAGTTATGGCACATAAGCAGAAGTTCATCGATCACTTTAGAAAAATGCCACTCGAATGGTAGCTCATGAAACGCCTAAGGAAAACGTGTTTGACGATGAGAGCGACACATCCTTCCAACCTGACGCACCAGGCTCTGTAAAATCGCAGAACTTGCGACGGAAAATTCTTCAGCATCCATTATATTTCGCAGGGATTCTAGCCACCACCCTTTCCGATCACTGTACAACAGTTTGAATGGAAAATGTTCGAAGTACGAGAAAAATATCCGGAAACACCCCATGATTCTTTTTGGCAAAATATAGTTCTTTTTTTCTTAAATGAACGGCCGACTTGTAGTATATTACAAAATAACTGAAGAGGACAATGAATGAGAGGGAAAAATTTCGACTGTGCACCCGTTTTTTTTCAAATGGTTTCAATTAACCTTGACTGAATCGAATGATTGTTTTACAGAGAACGGAGACGGGTGGTTGACCGAGACATTAAGGGAGTATAGTCATAAGCCTCGAAGTTTCTGAGATGCATGAATCTACAATCACTACTTATCGAAGTTACGCTTTTGTAGGATTTTTAATGCGGCTAGTAATTCTACTTCAAAGTCCTAGGATTCACCAGAAACAGGATTCCTCCACCGTATTTCGGTTTCTGGTGTCTGTCGCTCAACTATAAGGAGCAAGATAAGTTAAGATTTAATATATCAATCACAGTCTAGTCCCAAAACGTTGTGACGCTTAGTATCCAATTCCAAAAGACAACTGTTGCAATCGCCCGCTTCGTTAGGACTGCATGATTCGTATGACGTATGATAGTTGGCTCTGAATAGACTCAACAAAATCATTGTTGTGCACCTACCTTTTGGTTCATCCTTTTTCGTTTCTGTAGCTGAATCAGATCTCGCACCTAAATCTACCTCCTCTAACGTATTAGGATCTTGAATTGTGAGAATATTTTTATTCCGTTGTTGCTGTACTTGCTGTGGAGGCGGCTGCATTGTCATAGGTGTAGGGTGCTGAAATTCTGCCACTTTTTCACGTAGCCATTGTGCTGATATGATCCATTGAAAGCATACCGTTATTTGCTGGCCCATGTACATTGTACTCATGGTCGCTGCATGAGGATCATAATCCATACCAGGTTGTCGTGAATACTGTGGCCCAGGATAACTGAAAATATTGAATGGAGGACTCACACTTCAAACCTACATATTGAGNAAAAAAAGAATCAGACAGGGTTTAATTCACTAAAATATTAGTACTGATAAAGAACTTCTTGAAGGTGAACAAGTTTGACTGAAGTGGATGGGGAATCTTTAGACTATCAGCGTAGCTCAGTTTCAACCATACATTGCGAAAATGGCTTACAAATCAAATCCACGATGAAGAAACAATCTCCAAGAGAAACTATTAACAAAAAGCCTGTACTTTAAAGCTAACACGATGAAAAATGCCGATTTCGTCCCAGCCGACTCAGCTATTTCACGATTGAGCGAATGATATTGATCTAGCTACTCTGCAAGATTTCTGTTGGACTGGTCGAGTTAGTGTAAAGTACTAGATTGACGGTTGCAGCTGACATTCAAGTGTTCTCATGAGAAAAGGTGTGGACACCAAGAAGAAAGGAATATAGTCTTCACCGACTCAGAAGTTTTCCCGATAGCTACGATGGATTTGGCTGTATGATAGGAAGATCTAGGGACAACAATGGGAGGGTTGCAGTGAATGACGCGACGTTTCAGTAAAAAGTGGGGGCATGTTAGGATCAACCATTCAAAGTTTTGAGACAACGTGAACCTTCTTTGCAGGGGAGATGAACCGTGATAGGAGTTGTTGCTAGCTTAACTAGAGAATGCTGATCCGAAGAGAAGGGTTAATGTAGTGCTAGTTAGTGTTTACAACAAAACAGAGCTTACAATTGTTGTTGTTGAACGAACATCTGCTGCGGCGGATAATACTGTTGTGGCGGTTGAGCTCGCATGTGCGTTGGTGGGGCTAAGAAAGGAAAGATGGATAACGTTGAAAAAAGTAAACATGCCATAAATACTCAGTAACGGCAGAGGTTATGTGCCTCGAGTCTGTTCTACTTATCGATGTCAACCACACTCACAACACAAGCACAATACAAATTTGGCCTATTAAAGCACTACACTTAGAGCCCCTAAATTTGGGGCGGTTTATTAATCTGACCATTGCCTGGTCTCGCCACGTAATGGCCGCCGTGCTGCAGAAACGACATACCGTATCCCATCGGATGTATCGTTGTGCCCACTGGTAAACACATTCTAGAAAAAAAATCATAAAATTCTACAAAATGAAAAGTGACGGAAAACACACTAAGAAAATAGGGAAAAGACCAACGTGGGACTTGTCATATCGTACTCTTGCTGGGGTGTGGGCAAATTCGGAATAGTGGGCGTAGCAAATGAGGGCTGAGGAGCGCCCATCGGTAATGAAGTACCACCAGCGTGGTGGCTAGCGCCAACATTCAACGCATCTTCAATCGTAATTAGTATAAAGAATTTCTAGCAACAAACATCATCAGCAACAAGGGATGGTCACTTACCTTGACTGTACGGCTTTCCTTTACCCCTTTCCCTGGATATAGCACTTGACATAATATAAGTTTGAGAAACTGAAACATGCACAACCGTTTAACAGTACCGTTGAGCTGCGTACTAATCATCCCAATCAATACAGGCGAGAAAAAAACACGGGCCTAAAACATGGGCACACCGCTTAGGTTCCCGATCATCCACGATATAAATGCTCAAATCGATATCAGCTATCAGTGCACAAGGGTGTCGGGAATAGAGTAACAAAGTGAACAGATCAAAGCGATCATAACACTACGGTAAAGGGATCAATACTCGAAATTCAGGACAGACCTTCTGCCAGTAGGTCCCGGGCGGAAAACGTTAGGCAAGTTTTGATGCCATTCTAATTGCAATCGTCGCAATTGCGAAACATGACCGATACGGTAGTAGGGGTGGTCGATGGCATCATTCTGCGTTTTTGTTGAACTTTTTGTTTAAGGCTTCAATGTAAATACGTCCTATTACCTAGTTATTCGAATGAAGTTGCTTTGTGGGGATTTTATTGGTGTTTGTCGGGCAAAAGTCGCTCGTATCGTAAATACATTTTAAATTCGCTGTCAAGCCGTTTTTGTGGCTGAGTGCTTCATAGTTCACATCCATTTTTAATCCTGCAGAAAGGATCCACAGTTTAGGGCCAGAGAGACTCTACTTTGAATATGAACAATATAGAAATCCAAGAGAATAATTGGGTTAATGCAAACGCATATCTTATCTTCTTTTCTTTGTGAATTGAGGAAAAGTTCTCTAGCAGAATAGATCACACTATTCGAACCTTATGATGGGGTAGCTTTGAAATCGAAAACTGACAAAGGCTACCTGAAGTGAGCAAGAAGGAAGATGTCAACTAACACACAGGCTGTGTGGGGATAGCTGGAGGGCCTGATGAAATCATTTGTTTTTTTAATCCTTCCCTTAATTTCGCCACAGGCCGTCATCCTCGCTCACCCCTTGGCCCTGGCCCGTTGGTTTTCAGTATCGCACTGATCTGAAAAAACTGAAAAACCCTCGTCTTATTTGACAAGCCAAACAGCGTAGACTGTTTTTGACTGGTTACTAGTAAATGGCGAAGTGATGGGTGAAAAGCATTCCACCTTTCCGTCTTTGCTGCAGGTGTATCGTTAGTGTAGTGTGATCCAATGATGTCCGAGAATTAGTCAGGATCGTAATTTGGGCACCACAAGCGTCAGGGCTAATTTTGAGAACGCAAGTGACTGCCTCTCGGATCACGGTTCGTGTGCTCAGAACGTAGTTTTGGGGCTACGACTACGACGGGTGCTTCTTCCTTGGACCATCGCTTTCCGCTTCTTCTTGTTTCTTTGATTTATTTCTTGGCCTTGTGTGGAGAGAGTTTTGAAGACGAAAATTATTCGGAAAGTAGGAAAAGGGAGTGTCACTTAAACCTGCTGCTTCTAGTTCTTTCAACAACCGTGGAATGATCCCACTTCCAAAGGGGGGTGGAGAGGATGTTAGATTTCATAATGTGCCATCCTTCGGCATTTTCATGTTTCCCGCACTTTTTCCTCTCATCGGCACGAATTTCGTCTCTTTTCGATCTGCCAGCGAGAAGAAGAAAAGTAGACACATGGAAAATCCTGTAGCCGGCAGACAAAGGCGTGATGTCAGTACCACTCTACTGTATTCACGCAGGATGTCGATTACTGCATAGGCTGCTTTCAACGTTCAACGACGAGCCCACCGACCGACCGACCGGCAGGCCGGCCGATCGACGGCGGCGCTAGCCACATGTTGACAATACTGGCGCGCGACTCAACAACGTCCAGTGTTGTCAACACGCGGCANGTCGTTGAACCTATACGCTGCACTACAACTTACCATTAGCTAGGTAAACAGTTGATTCTTGGCTAAAACACCCAGTGAGCACCTACCGCTTTCAGCTTACCATAGGGTCCCGTCTAATGCTCTGCCCGCATCTTACAGATGTTTTGTAAGCCACATGGTGTGGCAGGAAGGTATGGATGTTTTAAAGCCAGTTCAGGCCAGAGGACTCTTGGGTCGAAGTTAGTTCTCCAAGGTTCTGCAGCTTCAACTATTTCGCACACGTAATGACTCGAATGCAACATGAATGCGCCAGCGCTATTAGAAATCCTCCTCTCCGATCGTCCGGCGCTTATATATCAATGAACGTGATAAGGTCTGCTGCTGTTGTGGGAGACTTTAGAGGATCCACGAAAAAAGGTGGATAATCCAGCGTTGCAGATTCACTCATCCTATTTCTCTGAAACATAGCTTTTATCTAATGCTCATGATGGTTCGTGCCTACCTCTTTCTGTAGGGGTTAAATGCTTTTTTTTACAAAGCGCTAGAAGCTTCAACTCTGGGTACAAGCAAGTTACTAATCCTCAATGGTTAGACGTTCTTTCGATCCAAACATAATATTCTAGGTGCTTTCTGGACGAACCTACGTCGACCTCGTTGTCAGCGACGGTGATCTTGGGCAAATTGATATTGAATTGTATGACGGAAGGTTTGTTCATCGAAATAAGTACTCTTCCATTGCATCGTGTGAATCGCGTGATTTCAGGCAAGATATTGCATTCAAATTACCTAGTGGCAGCAGTTTGTGAAGAATCGTAGCATTCGTACTGTACACCAAAATTAGCCTTGTTTGTTGCCAACGTTCGGATTGCTTTCGTGTTTTTTCCAAGTCCCTTCCATAGCCTCAACGGATGGCCGTTTTTGGATTGCCCAAGATTACAGAGCGGTAACCAAGTTTCAGCGCATCGATGGCAGTTCCTAGCCTGTACTAGCATAGTTGGGACACTCGTCGCTATCAAAACAGATTCAATTAATCTATCATGATTCTTCAACTACGGAAATACATGGGTCTGCAGGCAGAGTTGCTCAAAGCTGAAGGATGTTACCAGCTTGGCCGCTTGTGACCCAACAGTGCACTTTTGCCGAACTCTCACTGTATATCCTAACTTTGAGATATTGAGCGGAAGTGAAATGCTTTAGTGTACCGAGAACTTCGTCCTATTCCGCCAACACAGCTCAGAAGACGACTGCATCTCCTTACCTATCCCCGTGCACAGCAGAAGGCTGGCTCGACATGACTTGTTTAAATAGCTGATTCGCATCTTCTCTCCCACCCAATATGGCTCCCTCTAGTGGCAATGCTTACCTAAACGCTAATTAATGTAGCAGTAAGATAATTGTTCGACCAGCGAAGGATCAAATTAAAAAAAGACGAACGCTGTCAAGTCGCGCTCGCCTTACGACTCCAACCCGAGGAGCACGTTTACCTGCTGAGCTTCTCACTTTGCGTCCTCGTAGGCTCTCATGGTCTTAGTGTTGGAGCATGTTGTTTTCCATGCAAAGGTGCCTAAGAACTCTTTCATAATGATATACTTTCAAGACCATTAACAAATCCATGTTAGAAAAAATTGAGAAATGGAATATACGCTCAACGCTCTATGCTCTATTGTAACAGATGCCCCTAGCGTATTGGGAGGCGCTCACGCCTTCGCATCTCATATTTTGTTGTTGCGATACGGCTTTTTGGCATATGCCCTTTGTAATCACTTCTAAGATTTTAGGGCCGTTGNTGAAGTTCATCCACATATTTGTAGCGAATAGTGGGGAACCCTTGGTTCCCCGCAATTCTATATAGATTATCTATTCAAGGGCGCGCTTCCTTCCGCGCGTCAGTAGCTGCTTTCAGACTACGACGGCGCGTGCGGTCGCGTTGCGTGCGTGCGACGGCGGCCCCAGTGACTTGTTCACCACGCTGGATCACCTGATTACGTGCCAATAAGGGAGAACGTCCGTTGCGCGCGTCCGTCGAAAGTAGGTCACCCCACCCATTCGCGCGCGGCACACACCATTGAGGGCTCGAGACGACATTACAGTACCACCAAGTGTCGATGGAGCGAATGATTTGCATTCGTCCGTGTTATCTTCTCTTTGGCTGACTGTCATGGACCAAGCGCAATTCGTATGCCCCGCTGACAACTGCGACGTGTCAAAGATCGCGGGCTGACCCGCCGCATGCGGCGTCTGCGGTGTGACCTAGTTTCGACGGACGCGCACAACGAAGCGCACTCGCCAATAAGTGGCTAGGGCCGTCGTCGCATGCACGCAACGCACTGGACGGACAGACGGGCGGACGGGTGATTGTTGAAGTCTGAGAGCAGCCATTCGAAACTAGGTCATGCCGCAGCTGTCGCACGTGGCGCATCAGCCCACGATTTTTGACAGACGTCGCATTTATCGATGGGGCATGTGGTTGGCGCATGGTCCACGGCAGTCAGCCCATAACACTGACTAGTGCAGATCGGGGGACTTTCGATTCATGCGGTTCCGAGTGCGCGCGGCAAATTGCGCGGCGAAATTCGCGATGATTAAAGCAGCTCCTGCGCCTATCATTGGGGCACAAACTTGAAGTAAAGTGCTTTAGTAGGGTTGGACAATCCTACTAACCTACTTTACTTCAACTCGGGCCCCAATGATAAACGCTGCAGTCGTCCAAATCGCACCGAATTTCGCCGCGCAATTTGCCGCGCGCACCCGGAATCGCACGAATCGACTCACACCCGTGCAGTTCACCCTCTCCACTGGCCGATTTCAGACTTCGACGTCCGTCCGTTCGACGCGTGCGTGCTGCGACGGCGGTCACTGAGTAGTGTTGACATCGTTGGCACGTGATCTAGTGTTGTCAACAACGGTCAGGCGCCGCCGTCGCAGCACGCACGCGTCGGACGGACGGACGGTCGGATGATCGTTGAGGTCTGAAAGCAGCTACTGACACTGATTGGAACTGTTATGTTATCTCGGGGTCGCCGTGGGCTGCGACGCATGCGAAGTGGGCGAGGTGACCTAGACCTGGGTGACGGACCCGCGAAACGGGCGTTCCCTATCCATGTAAGGATTCCTTGCAGTTATTCTACAGATATTGGGGCAAAGTTCTGGCTTTAACTTCTCTCGTGGTACTTGAACCGGTCAACCAGTGACAACTTCCAGCGAACAGCGCATCAATCTTCATTTTGCGTACCTTCCCTCTTCCTCTATCTGGACAAAGATGAGATCATCAGCCGTGTAGATGTCTTCCTTCCCGATCCAACTCGACTCGTACACTCGTTCACGTGTCTCGTGATGAAAGCGCGGGTGCGCTTCGTTGCTGCCGTCGATGAAACTAGGAAACGCAGCCCACCGCGATCTCCTGGTGGGCAAGGTTGCGGTTTGAATTACTTTTCGCGCGCGGACATTTGAATACAACATCGATGTTGCAGCGGTTCAAGTAGATGAAACTTGTTCATATAACCGCCTTACTGCCCCATTTTCTCGTTTCTCTATTTCTATATAGAAAAAGAACTTCGACAAGCCTCATTCTGCTTCACTCTGCTTCTTCAAGAAGTTTTGATTTGTTTCTCAATGGAGCGGTTCAACTTGTATTCAATTGTCCGCGCGCGGTAAAATGGACATGTCCATCTCGAGGTAGCAGTGGGCTGCGCCACGCGCGACGTGTGCGGCGTGACCTAGTTTCATCGACAATGGGAACGAGCGCTCCCCGGGTGGTTGACACAAAACCCAGAGACTGCTTTTTCGTCTGAATCTCTCAGAGAAATGTATTACGGTTGACACATCCCTGTAAGCACTTGTGGTATCAGGGGACGGAACATTCACCCAGAACTGGGTGAACGCGGCAAATGGCGCGGCGAGAGTCGTGCCGTTTAAAACGACTTTGGCGCCTATCACTGGGGCACAAACTTGATGTAGAGTACACCAGTATGGTCAGATGATCGTACCTATCGGCTCTACTTCAAATTTGGGCCCCAATGATAGGCGCTAAAGTCGGTTAAATCGCCACAAATTTCGCCGCGCGATTTGCCGCGTCCATCCAGTTCTGGGTGAATGTACCCATACCCGTGGTATCAGTCTGCAAATGCTTAATAACAGTACACAGGAGTTACAGGGCTGTTGTCAACCAAAATTCTTTTATCTAGAAAATAATACAAAATCAGTCTACGTCTCATCCTACCAGAGGAAGTCTTTATGTGAGTGAATTTTGAGGGCAATGACATCGTTCGATAAGCTACAGCAACAATGAATTGAGCTGAACTCAAAATGTTTCCCTGTTCATTACATTGCATTATTTTCATTTTGTACGCACTGAGGGATAGCGTGCTCGTTCGCGTGCGCTCTATCATCTTGTTGGTGAAATCTATAAAGATAAAGATAAAACGACAGATAAAACGACAAAAACGCACAGTCACTCCTCTATGGTTTAGACGGCGGTAATGCAAAACGGAATAACGGAATCCTAACCGCTCGGCAGTGATTCCGCTGCATTTATTTGGCATTCTAGCGCAAATTCAGATCATCCTCTACAGCCTATTGCATGCGATCGGGAGCGGCGAGCGCGACACGCCGCTCGGGTAAAGGTACCCACGTCTTTCGCGGTTGGCAACGCTCTTTAATCACCAAGTGTTTCCCAAGGCGTCTACAGTCATTCCTCAAATATACTGCGCGTCGAAGTAAGGCCTTGAGCAGGAGGTTGGGTGGGTACTTTTGGGTAGAGCCATGTTAATGCGCGGTTACAGTTTGTTACCGTGAGTAATAACAATAGATGTTTATCTGAGACTGGCCGATGCAAAAGTCTCTTTTCACCCTTCAACGAGTCCTTTATTCTTTAAGCGTGTTTGGTGGTAACATGACGCGAAGAAAACATGTGAGATTAAATCTGAAAATTAGACGAATGAGTTCATTTTTGTAATGGGGCAGTCTTTTCATGATATTCTGGATTTGATCGTTGAGGGAAAAGCTGCTGACGCTTCTGTCGACCCAACGTATCTTGGTCGTTTTATAAACTATCCTCGCTCATGGATCTATTCACACATTCCTGAGGCAATATTTTTTGAAATTTCGGAATTGAAAACTATGAGTTGGAGATCACGTTGTTGCATTGTAGTTTCAGCGAGGCGTGGATTTTTATTTTGGAGTTTCAGCTCATCTTGACAATGGGTCTGGTGGCTAGCTGTGTTCTGTCGGTAACAGGTGATGATCGTGTGTGTAAATTCTGTTACGGTGACGATGACCAAGAAGAGCGATGGATACGACCATGCATGTGCCGAGGATCTCTTAAGGTGGGTCTGACATCTCGACTATTCACTTATTAAGTCGTGGAGCGAAAAACATCAATCTTGCTTCTACACCTTGTTGCTGTGTGGCAAACAATATAATGTCACTGCAAAATCTTCATATTACGCTGTACTGTTCCAAGCCTTTGATATCATTATTTCGTGAAACTGGCGGTAACTCACCTCATTTCCAGTGGGTCCATTTGCGGTGCTTCGATCACTGGATGTCGAAAGCTCCAGCACAACAACAAATTCAGTGTCAAACCTGCCGGTGAGTAGATTTTTTCAACGATAATGTGCATTTGCTGTTATATTGAGTGAATATCTAACGTGTGCTCCATAATGATGTGCGACGCTTTGAGGTTCACTAAGGTAGTATAGTCTTTTTTTGGCACCGTTTCCTATCCTCACAAACGTTCAAGGGAAAGTTGATGGAGAAATGAATTCTCACATTAGCAGCGCTTATCAGCGTATAAGCTCCAGTTAAAAAGGGATCAAGTGTAAAACACTGCTCCCATTTTTTCTCTGTTACGGTCCCAAACTGGACGATGGCGGTGTAGTGGTAAGTGGCGCACTATCTACACGTATGGTCATGGGTTGGAATCCCTGGTCGATATCCGCCTAAGCCAACCATGCCTTCCATCCCTCCGGTGGCGGTTTTTTTTCGGTTCGGTTATCTGTTCAGCACAGTGATATAATACACGGACGTAACATTATTCCTAGAATCTTCTAGCACATTCGTTGCACAGTTGGTATACTTAGGAATTCAATCACCTCTTTTATGAAGCTGGCTCTTTCCAGAGTAGAAGGAGGGAGGGGGGGGGGGTTGGAAATACCTCATCTAATATTGCGTGTTCTTGCGCCGGCATCAGTTCGTCAGTTTTTCTTTTAAAGGATGCTTGTTCTTTTCTGGCATCTCTTAGAATGGCTGGTAAAGATGCAAGTAAACAAGCTCGAAGATCTGCAATCATTACTTCCACAAAGATCATCCGGCGTAGAAGGACGGAGCTCAATCGCCTTCCCAGTGGCGTTTTTGAGTGGGGGCATTCTTACAGCGAGCGAATGACTCAAGGGAAAAGACAGAACCTATCAATTCGTCGTTTCGTCATAGCAAGGGAATCCCCACGCTTCATGGTGATAAAACTTCTACTCTTAAGGCATTATTTACTTTGGTTAAATCATGCCTCTGAGCATCGATGAACATACACAGAATAATACAGATTATGTAGTACATTAGTGCATTGGATTTATTAAATCGCGACATATTGAATTTTAGATACGTATATGTGAAATCATGGGTTCTCAAACCGATTTCTGAGTGGTGCCGTCCCGCAATCAAGTTGTCAGCGTGGGAGTGCATGGAAATTATTTTGGATACATACTCGACGTATAAGTTTCTACGTGGATTCATACTGATGTTGGAAGGACAAAGGTACGTGCATATGTATAAACTTATCGGTGTTTTATCGTCCCTGAAAGTGTGATACAGTACCCTCCGCAATGCCCCTACATAAAAACGAGAACTCAGTACAGCCACTCGGCTCTTACAGCAACCACCTAGCTTCTCTTCTCAGCCCGTTCCAGGAACGCAGCGCGACCGTAGCGCGCCGAACGGGCGGGCGTCGAAGTCTGAAAGCAGCCAATGCCTCTTTTCGACGAGTCGTATGAGTAACGGGTGAGAATTTGCGTATTAAAATGGGGTTAGGGGGTATGTGGCATTACGTGCGTATGAGGATGCGCGCTGCAAATTGCGCGGCGAATATAATTTCATCGAGCACTATCTAGGTGGAAGGGAGCAGAAAATCTGATGGCGTGACTGGTCGCACTCATAGTAGGCGCGTTTTTACGCGGACTAGTCCGTTTTGACGCATGTATCTGCGTTTTTTTACGGGTGGACTTACCTAAGCAGACCAGTTTGCGTAAAAACGGACTAGTTTCGCCCGGATCGCTGCAAGGACACGTTAAAGGACCGCTTCCTCCCGTAAAGTTGATTAGATTCTTTAATGTACGAATGAAATAAAACACACAACCTAAATCAGAAAAAAAAGGTTTGATTTATAACAAAAGGTCAAGTTGTCGAATTTGAATGCAACTCTTACGAAATCGACCTCGGAAACTACAGTGGGAAAACCACGAAATTTGATGTTATTCATACGGAATTGACTGGAACGATGAGAAATTGAGGTGGAAAGCCCTGACAAACAAGCGACAACAGAAAACCCATCTTGGCATGACAGCCACACGGTCGTTGGTAAATGGCAGTTAAAAGCTTTCAGCCGTACAGTGCGGCAAGGGTCCCTTCTGAAGCTGACGTTCGGCCCTTAATTGGACATCATTGTAAGACTTTCGCATTGCGTACTGCTGCAAAATAATAGTAGATAACAAAAAAGCCAAACTAAATTATATTATAAAAGCTTAAAGATGATGGTTGAGTGCCGGATATTGCCCTGCCACTCATTACGTTGTACTCATGACTACTGACATGCAACGGCTCTAACCCATCAAGTAAAATAGTGTAGGGGATCTTGGTGATGCGAGGGTTAATAAGCACGGCGCCTAAAAAACAAAAGTACTGTTTGAGTCATGTCCGAGGCCAAACTCGCCATGCCCGTGAGACATTGCGAAATGATATAGGATTCATGGAAAGATAGGATTAGGTGATTACGCTTGTGACGGTGGTAGTCGATTCTAATGCTGAGTTTTACCACCGCCGCAGCTAAAGTGCCCATCCCATAGTTTTTTTGTTATTGACGGCTTTTTTCCAGTAGCCACATTTCACAGAACATTCTTCCAATTTCAGGTCCGTTATTGTGCAATCCCTACACTTCTTGTTTTGGAGAATTTTCATTGCTACAGACCGCCGCATGGCTTATTATGCCTCTCTTGGAAGGCAGTTTTTGTCATCAATATTCGTGATTTCTATTAAAGACTGCATCGTTGAACCAGAAGAGTGAGTTGAGACCTAAACTTGAAAAGTTATCCTTGATCGATTTGAGTTCCTCATGGGCCGGTTGTTGGTTTTGCTCTACCAATATCACTCTCTTTGTCTGTATGAAGAGGATCTCCTTTTGCCAACAATGATGAATGGTTCTGGATGTCGCAAAGTTGACGAGTTATGGCTAGAATTTCAGTCCCGGACGGGACTCGAACTTGTGCTATCCGGTCACCTGCTCTTATTCCTTGCTCTACCGAGACTGTTGCCCTGATATCGGCTGATCAGCTCACCACGTTGTACGTGTAAGTGTAAGTGCAGATATCCTAGGGCATAAAAGCCATCAAGACGACGAGGGCAAGCGAGGTCTTGGTAGTGTAAGGGACAACAGCACGGTGCCCGAATAGCACATGGGTTCGAGTCCTTTCCGAGGCCGAAGTTTTGTCTATAAATCGCCAAATCTGTGATACTTTGGTATCGCGGTATCGCGTGCTGCGGCGAGGTAACAGAAGTTAACAAAACATCAAGTCTAAACCAGTTCTGGATTTATTCTGTGGTGCGTTACTAGGCATGAGTAGGGTGGTGGTATTTGAGATCTTTACGATTCCAGAGTACTCGTATGCTTTATCCTTTTATTCAATGTAATGTAATGCGCCCTGTCTTACTTTCTACTCGTTTTTCAAAATTCCAAATCGAAGTGGCCATTTGAAATGAAACTTCTCCGGGGAGAGCAAGGAGTCGTGAAGATAATTCCAGGTGAGCAGTTAGTAAAAACGGGCTCAAAAGGCATATACCCTTTGAGTTTCAACTGTTGCTTGGAGAAGTGGTAAGTGTGACGGCTCATGCAAGTGAGATCATTGATCGTGTTTTGTAGGTTGCGAGGTTTTTCTATTCCTCGAAACTTTTCTTGAGGACAAAAAATTCTTTTCATGTTGTTTCTATCGCACTCTTCTCCTTTTTAATGTGTGAGGAGACTCCTTCTCTACTTCACCTATGCAATATCACAACAATTTCTTTGCTCGTTCAGGCACTGCATTCACAGTATGATAATTTTTACCCTTCATAAACCATGTGATATCCAAGTACAAAATTTTTGAAGCGGAAAAGTTTTCCCAATGATAACAACAATTTTTTATCACATTCCGTTGCTTCACAGCACTTCATCGAGCCGGACAAAAAATAGAATTTGTAGGCGATTCACTATCTGCGTTCGTGTGACTGCTTGAATAGCCGGCAGTAGGCCATGAATAAGAAAGAAATCCCGCAAGTCTCCTGCACAGAATTGAGCGTGGACTAGCGATAGTAAGCGAAGAAGAGTTGTGAGTGTATATCAAAAGTTGAGAATATAAGCTTCTGCCATCGAGCTTCTGTCACGTTTGAAATATTTTTGAACGGCAAAAAGAAATGCACATCCAAATACTGTATTGATATTGTTGTACGGGCAAAAATGCCATCGCTTTCAGCTGCTTTTGCAAAGGTGAAGCGCTTTGAATAGTCCACCCCCAGAACTCCCATAAGAATACCCGGTGTCACGATCGCACCTTCTCTAGCATCATCTGCTTGCTCATCATATGCATTAAAACGCTCAGAAATTCCGCGTACTGAAAGTCTTCTATTTGGAAATTTGCCATTATTTTTATCAAAGTTAAGGAGAGAAATGTATGGTCAACAGAATGTATCTTTAAAAGACCTTAATCACACTAGGGGCTTCCGACCTAGGTTGCCGTCAGCCAGAGCCAGCCGTCAGGGAGAACGAGTGAATGGTAAAAGTAACTCTCCACTCTCTCCACTCTCTTCGAGCCTCTTGAGGGTGAAGTGGATGTGTGTGTGTGTCTGTGTGTGTCGTGTGTAAGTGTGTGGACATGCAAAGGGAATTTGGCGCTGTTGCATGGTTAAAGGAGAAATGAATCACTTCTCAATAAATAAGTCACAGAGTGCGATAAAATCAACATAAAAAGCTTAACTCGACTTTGAGGAAAAACCTGGTGCAATGCAAAGAATTCGGCCCCCACAAAACTCGAACAGTGGATTCAATCATATGAGGTGCATATTTCACTTTGCTCCAACCCACCATTGCGAGTTCCAGCTCACTCATGTCTCATGTGTTCGCTAACGTAAAACGCTCCCCTGGAAACACTAATACCGCTCAGATGTTTCTTCGGCGAATATGGAAAGCAGATTAGACATCAGGATCCGAAAACATATCTAACAGAGTAAATCTCATCTCAAATGGCCACTTCGACGTGGTTCTTCTCTGGTTAGCTTCCGTTTGAGATCTTCTTAAGAAGGGTGCCATAATATTCTGGAATACACCCATCCCTGATGGAATACCACCACCCTTAAAGATTTCGTGTTTATTGTTTTTTCCTTTTTCGTTGATGTTTCGCTTTTCTCATTTTTNTTTTTGCTCTAGGAATCCTTACTCATAATCACTGTTTAGATCCGGTGATGCTGCACTTGTTTCGAGGTCTTCTAGCCAAATATCGTTGGTAGCTGAAGTTCCTTTTTGATTAGGTTTCCTAATTCATTGTTTTTTAATGTATATAGTCAGAGCCGTGCTTCTTTCCAAACCAGAGTTCCCAGATTTGACAGTATTCCTATAACTCTGTTGAGTTAAAAACCAGTTTTTGAAACTTCACTTCATTGTTAGGTGTAAGGGGGGAATGAACATTCGCGAATCCAGCAGGCGCTCGTTCATGCATTTATTCCTGTAGCCCTCCCCAGAATCAGTTGACGATGATATTCCTTGATACGGTGTTGGATTGAATTACATTAGTCATTTTTGCTGCAAGCTGACTGCTTAAAACTTGTGGCATCAGTGTGGTGTTGATAATTAACCTAGAGTCGATCTTATTGTAAATGAATGTTTTCGTGCTCATCGCTGTCTATCAACTTTTCAGATGAACTTTAGATGGAAATAATCTTCCCACTCCTAGACTTATAAAAACTGAATGAAACCCGATGTTTCCACGGGTTAACAATGTCCAGAGATCATGTCGTACTTCTCGACATTCGCATACAATAAGGAACTTTCAAAAGCTATTTACAGAATTTTTTAGTAGTGTTCGATTTCAGTTAGTCTCTCGATTCAACTGTTCATGTTAAACGGAGATATAATAGATTTTTCTTTCATTTATATCAGAATCTTTTCGACGTAATATTTGTATGCGTTCTCTGTTCATGTGAAGGGCTGCACCGCTGAAGCATAGTAAGCACTCGAGGAGCATTGCGGTCCTTCCAAGTGTTTGATGAGGGGACGAGGTCAGCCAACACTTATCATCATTCTGATCGATTGGATAGTAGCTATCAACACTTATTACCTTGAGCGCTTTCCTAATCCAATATAAATGTGATTTCTTTTTCGAGTCGATGAAATTAGTTGTCTATAAGAGGTCTTGAAGTTATCGAAGTTTCTTAGCGTGTAGTTAACTATCCAGACGTGCTTTATGGTGCGTGCGTTTATGATTTGGAGTTCAGTTTTGAGCAGTTTATTCTTATGGCTGCTATTCCAAGATTACTCATTTTTAACACATGTGAAATAAACGTTATAATTGTTTGCAGCATTCATGTTCCATGAAGGGTCCTTTCCTTACGTTTCTTAGTTATTGCTCTCGATTTGTTTATTCATGTATACGAAGGTAGAACTTTAGAGTAACTTCACGATTGTCTCCTTATTACTGCTGTGGTCATCGCTGCGCAGTACTTTCTGGAGTAGCGGTGCAAGAGTGGGAGGGGGAAAGAGAGAGAGAGAGAGAGCGGCAGCAGCAGCATATTGGATGAGAGATCGGTCACTTCAGTTCATATTATACTACAGAACAACCAAACTTTCAATTAGTGAACGGGCAAATGGCCATATCCAACGGGTTAGGTAATGGTTTGTCCGTTATCATCGTCATCATGAGGTCATGTGTTATGCCTCGCTGCCCTCTCCATTCTTTTCTTTTCTGGTATACGCAGTGGGAGGTTTTTCGTATCACACCCGCCCTATCCCAAAATTATGCATCAATGATTGAAAATAAGTGGATGGTGTAAACAGCCGTTGTGAAGCGCACGGTGTGATATGAATTAACTTCATTCCAGCTCAAGTTCTGCAGTTTTCAACCTAGGAATAAGTTCACCACTTTCTCGGGGGGCCTGGATCTTCACTATGATTCGGAAGATAATGCCCATGAGGGGTTCTAGTTTTATCGACATCGTCGCTTTAATTTTCGAATACACTCATAAGGTTTATGGGTAGGTGTTTCCATCGAATGTTTATCTTAGCTGATTCTATACGAAAGGCACAGTTCACGATAAAAATGGTTTCTGAGTTCTCCCCCTAGGAATACCCAGTGACCCCCAAGGTAGCAGAAAGGACCTGTCGAGCTCAACAGCTAGGGCATACTGGGAGCCTCATTACCGGATCACCCAGACTTCCCGCCCCTTCCTCGGTGATATGTCGGACGAGTGTCGTGGCGATACAGATTGCAATGTTCGCTCTAGGCCCCAGACGCAATCAGCTGATCACAGTGATGAGGCGATGCTAGGCGGAATTCAGCGTTGCTACAATCGTTAATCTCTCCATCCTGATGTCTGCATCTCCTCCCAGTTGGAACGCCTTAGGTGCAAGGCAGCGGCTTTTCGCGCATGCTCCGCCTCCCCAGGGAGGGGGAGTTTACCAGTCGCGAACGCGACCGCGCGTTGTGAAGGGAAAGATTCGAACTCTCAGTGGAAGGATACGGAGTGTGTCCGCGAAACCAGTGCCGCAGGTCGTGGAAATTCGGGGAGAAGCTCCTTCACC